GCGTGGCGCGGCCGTGTGAGTGTAGCCCGGCTCCTTTCCGCGTGGCGCGGCCGTGTGAGTGTAGCCCGGCTCCTTTCCGCGTGGCGCGGCCGTGTGAGTGTAGCCCGGCTCCTTTCCGCGTGGCGCGGCCGTGTGAGTGTAGCCCGGCTCCTTTCCGCGTGGCGCGGCCGTGTGAGTGAAGCCCGGCTCCTTTCCGCGTGGCGCGGCCGTGTGAGTGAAGCCCGGCTCCTTTCCGCGTGGCGCGGCCGTGTGAGTGAAGCCCGGCTCCTTTCCGCGTGGCGCGGCCGTGTGAGTGAAGCCCGGCTCCTTTCCGCGTGGCGCGGCCGTGTGAGTGAAGCCCGGCTCCTTTCCGCGTGGCGCGGCCGTGTGAGTGAAGCCCGGCTCCTTTCCGCGTGGCGCGGCCGTGTGAGTGAAGCCCGGCTCCTTTCCGCGTGGCGCGGCCGTGTGAGTGTAGCCCGGCTCCTTTCCGCGTGGCGCGGCCGTGTGAGTGTAGCCCGGCTCCTTTCCGCGTGGCGCGGCCGTGTGAGTGAAGCCCGGCTCCTTTCCGCGTGGCGCGGCCGTGTGAGTGTAGCCCGGCTCCTTTCCGCCTGGCGCGGCCGTGTGAGTGTAGCCCGGCTCCTTTCCGCGTGGCGCGGCCGTGTGAGTGAAGCCCGGCTCCTTTCCGCGTGGCGCGGCCGTGTGAGTGAAGCCCGGCTCTTTTCCGCGTGGCGCGGCCGTGTGAGTGTAGCCCGGCTCTTTTCCGCGTGGCGCGGCCGTGTGAGTGAAGCCCGGCTCCTTTCCGCGTGGCGCGGCCGTGTGAGTGTAGCCCGGCTCCTTTCCGCGTGGCGCGGCCGTGTGAGTGTAGCCCGGCTCTTTTCCGCGTGGCGCGGCCGTGTGAGTGAAGCCCGGCTCCTTTCCGCGTGGCGCGGCCGTGTGAGTGTAGCCCGGCTCTTTTCCGCGTGGCGCGGCCGTGTGAGTGTAGCCCGGCTCCTTTCCGCGTGGCGCGGCCGTGTGAGTGAAGCCCGGCTCCTTTCCGCGTGGCGCGGCCGTGTGAGTGAAGCCCGGCTCCTTTCCGCGTGGCGCGGCCGTGTGAGTGTAGCCCGGCTCTTTTCCGCGTGGCGCGGCCGTGTGAGTGTAGCCCGGCTCCTTTCCGCGTGGCGCGGCCGTGTGAGTGAAGCCCGGCTCTTTTCCGCGTGGCGCGGCCGTGTGAGTGTAGCCCGGCTCTTTTCCGCGTGGCGCGGCCGTGTGAGTGTAGCCCGGCTCTTTTCCGCGTGGCGCGGCCGTGTGAGTGTAGCCCGGCTCTTTTCCGCGTGGCGCGGCCGTGTGAGTGTAGCCCGGCTCTTTTCCGCGTGGCGCGGCCGTGTGAGTGTAGCCCGGCTCCTTTCCGCGTGGCGCGGCCGTGTGAGTGTAGCCCGGCTCCTTTCCGCGTGGCGCGGCCGTGTGAGTGAAGCCCGGCTCTTTTCCGCGTGGCGCGGCCGTGTGAGTGTAGCCCGGCTCCTTTCCGCGTGGCGCGGCCGTGTGAGTGTAGCCCGGCTCCTTTCCGCGTGGCGCGGCCGTGTGAGTGAAGCCCGGCTCTTTTCCGCGTGGCGCGGCCGTGTGAGTGTAGCCCGGCTCCTTTCCGCGTGGCGCGGCCGTGTGAGTGAAGCCCGGCTCCTTTCCGCGTGGCGCGGCCGTGTGAGTGAAGGCCGGCTCCTTTCCGCGTGGCGCGGCCGTGTGAGTGAAGCCCGGCTCTTTTCTGCGTGGCGCGGCCGTGTGAGTGTAGCCCGGCTCCTTTCCGCGTGGCGCGGCCGTGTGAGTGTAGCCCGGCTCTTTTCCGCGTGGTGCTGTTTATTTTATTGTTGTTTGTTTTGTTTTTGTTCTTCTTGTGCCACTATTTTATAAATGTGCATCATAACGTGACATTATCGAGAAGCTTCCCTAGCTTGAGAATTTTTTTAAATCAATTTTTGAGCTAATGTGTTGAGTGAAAGGTTAAGATTTAAATAAAAAATGTTATCTCTCAAACATAGACATTACCTTTGTCACGATAGCTATTCGTAAGAACCTGTAGCCATCTCACCTGGAGACATAGTCGTTCTCCATTTCTTTCAAGTTTTCTTGTGTACATTTCCATTAGGCTTTCTAGTCCTTATGAAGGTATGTGTTTCATATTAGACTTGCTCCCAAAGTATATTTAAAAAAAATGTTTCTTTGACTCTCTTTCAAGAAATACAGAGTTATGTGCTTTCCCGATTTCCTCTGTGCTCTGATGTAATTTATCCCGAGTGTCTAAAAGACCTTTCTCCTCTCCTCTTTAATTTCCTCATTAAGAAGTTTCCTCAACATCTGTTGCCCTCTTTTGTTCTAACAGCTGTACAGCATCATCTGACAGATCCACTGTGCCTCAGTTTCCTGCTGGGTCCACTCTGTCTTTCTAACTTAGCTGCATTTTCCAGTTCTTGACTCACAGATGCTCTGAAGGCTTTGTCCTGCCTCTCCTGTGGCAACAAGCTTCCGGTCATCTAGGGCTGGGCAGGATGGTGAATCGGATCTTTAATTACCAACTTCTGCTATGCTTTTACCTTTGTGGATCTACAAAAACATTTTTTATTGAGAAATTAGAGTGAGTAGAAAGTGTGTAATTTCTTATTTGTTGTACTTGCCTGAGGTCTTCTTTTTTTAAATTAACTTTATTGGAGTGTACCTTATTTACAGTGTTGTTACCTGACTTACTCTGATTCTCTAGTAGGATAGGGGAGAGGTTTGTCTGTGGTAGACATTCCAGAACTATGACTCTCCACCCTCACCCAGACTCACTGCCCCTTCTTACATCCCAGTAAATCCTGTGCAGACCAAGAAGAGGTTTCACAACAGTTACTCCATGAAGAGCTGAGCAGTATTCATTCAGCTGAATTGGAGTCTGTATCAGGTATCAGGCACTTGGAGTCTGAGGGTTGGGTATACTTGCCTTCTAAACCGTGTTTTTGCTTTTCGACCCCCTCCGGTCCTTCCTCCAGAGTGCTGCCAGACGTGGTCCAGGAAGCACCACCTGATGCTGTCAAGCCCACAGAGACGAGGGCCCAGGGTCCACACGGCTTCTAGGAAGCGCGCTCTGTGTTCATGCCTCTCGGCCACGGCCTTCACCCTGTCTGGAGTCCTGGACTCAATCCCTTGGTTCACTTTCCCTTTCTGGGAGTCTGACTCAGATATCACCCCCTGGGAGAGCATCCTGAGTTGTCCCGGTTCAGGTCCGCGTCTCCGTCCTCCGTGCCTTGCCGGGGACCTGATACCCGTGCGTCTCTCGCCGTTCAGCCAGCGCACCGCGTGGAGCGCTGCTGTGTGTCAGGCGATCTCGGTGTGGGGCTCTGGCAGCGGGTGCGACTCGGGGCCACTGCCATCCACACATAGGTCGGAGGGTGTTTCAGATGGTAATGAGTGCGCAGAGGGAAATAGGACAGCAGCAGAGGGGGGGAAGTCCTCTCCAAAGAGGTGACGCTGAAGCTGAGCAGGGCCAGCGCTGGAAGCATCTGGAAAAAGAGCTGTCAGTGCAGAGAAAAATGGCACTATTAAGTGCCCCGGCACAGGGAGAGCATGCACCCTGGAGCTGCAGAGACGGCCAGCCAGGGGGACTGGAGCAGGGTGAAGGAGGCGGGGAGGCAGGAGACGGTCGGAAGAGCAGACAGTCTGTTGGTGTAGCAAGAAATTTGGATTTTAGGGACTTCCTTGGTGGTCCAGTGGCTAAGACTCGGAGCTCCCAATGCAGGGGAGCCGGGTTCGATCCCTGGCCTGGGAACTAGATCCCACATGCTGCAACTTAAGACCCAGCACAGTCAAATAAATTTTTTAAGAAGTTAAAAAAGAAATTTGGATTTTATTCCTGAATTCACCAAGAAACTATTGAAGAGCTTTAGGCAGGCGAGTCAGTAGAATGAAATGATGTATGTTTAACCTGCACCGAACACTGAGTGTTATAAATGGCTCATTGCATGTGTCTCTGGTAACCTGTGTGCTGTGACGGCACGCGTTCCCTGTGGATCCCCAGCACCCAGTCCAGGGGATGGTCGGTAGCCGCTGGGGAATCTAATGAATGAATAATCTATGTATTCTCTTGATAGGCTCTATTTAAGTGGTTGAGTTACTAACACCACGTAAATAACTTTTTCTGCTTGGTAAAAGCTGGTCAGTCGAGTGCTAGGACACTCCCTATGAATAAGGAAATGTCATGGCCTTTTTCAAGACTCCAGGGTGTTATGATATTCTGGATGTTCTATTCAGTCCTTGAGGCAATACCCCAGGAATGTTAAGTAGAATCTTGATGAGCAGAGAAGAATGAAAAGCCATGACATTTTAAAAAATGAAAGCTATCAGTAGTACAGTAAAGTCTTATGATGAGGTGAATACACATATAGCATCCCAGTGGCATTTGTTGTCCTCAAGAGGAGGCAGTCGGCAGTTCTTTTCTTCCAGCATGTGGGGAGGTGGGGAGCAGGGGTTGGTAGTCATCTCCTGATAATTTGAGACTCTCTGAGTTCAATATAAGGGCCATTGAATACGATTTAAATTTTACTATCTTCCGTGCTCTTTGAAAATGTAGACCACCTGAGACAGATCGTTTTTCATTAACCATGTAGTAATGTCTCCTGGCATTTTGTGTGCTGGTTTTTTGGACTTGACTTTCACTGTAATGGTTGGCTTTTACTATAGTTAGTGTTTTTCTATTGTAATTATCTCCAGTTTTCAGGTGCTGTCTCTTAAAAACCTTGAGTTGTTTTTTTTTCCTGAATCAGTTGGAGACCCTAATTTAGATCTATCTGTGTCCCATTAAATAAAGCTTACTTGAAAATCTCTCATGGTGAAATCATAACCCGGCCCAGTGAACACGCTCTAATCATCATAGCACTTGCTCCCAGGAAGGATCTTTTCTCATGACTTCTTTCCCCACATTCACTTAAAAATCACCCTACAGGTAATAGAGAGTTTAGGACTTGGTAAACTGAGTACATTTTGGACTTCTTTTAAGTTGAAAATATTTTTCTCTGCAGAGATTTCAGCAACACAGAAACACTGTGTAGTGAACAGAAGTATTATTGTGAAACTTGCTGCAGCAAACAGGAGGCCCAGAAAAGGTACGTAAGGGTTTATAGTCCAGGGGGTGGCTTCCTGTCCTTAGAAGGGACCAGACCGTGGAGCCTGACAGAGCTGATTTCTGAATCCCAGTTCCTAAGGCTCATAGCCAGGTAGCTTTGGAGAAGTCAGCTACTTTCTTCACTGGTAAAACAGGATAAGAATGTGTACCTGGGGAACTTGCTCATTCACCTGATCATGTGTTCATCTGTTTGTTTGTTCATTCATTCATTCACTGTGCCAGATACTCATGCTGGGTAAACAAGTGGTAAGCGAGTGTGATCGCTGTCCTCTTAGGATTAAAGGTGAACTATAAAAAGGACTCAGCATAGTACATAACACATACTGGTCACCCAGTAGTACTGTTAGTATTGCCTAATGTTGGAACTTCTTATTTAGAAGGTAGAAGAGGCAAGTAGTACTAATCATTTAATAAGGAATCATGAGGAAATCAATAACATTAGTCTATGGATAGGTAATAAGAAAGTTATCATATTCACAGTTGATACAAGACCCAAGGTTGCCCATCTTTTTACCAGCACTGGCCAGTTACAGCTCTTGAACAATGTAGAATAACCAGTCCTTCCTTATGTTCTGTCCCCAGAAGGCAAGAAACTTGACATTTTCACTATCCTGTGAAGCTTTATCATGAGTTAAGCTTACCCTGCCCATGGTTTGTGGCATATTCAGGATAACTCACAGATGCCCATTCCTACCATCTAAAACCATGAGGGGTCTAGAGCTGAAGCTGAACGAGTTTCTCTTACCAGTCTCCCAGTCCTTCATCCCCAGACATGCACATCTTTCTTTGGTGCCTCAGAACTGGAGAAAGGTTAGTCATTGTGGTGGCAGAAGGGAATTAACATTCATTAGTGGTTGGGGAGCTTATCTCTGTCCCCATCCATATAATGTAAACTAAGTCTGCCTAAGGCCATCTTAGGTCTTCTAGTGGAGCATGAAGGCATATTCTATTCAACCCTGGAAGTTTTATACATTAAAATGCTGTTTTCGTGAAAAATAATAGGGATCCCCATAAATCTTATGTTTCTGCTGATGGTTCTTACTTTTATGAACAGGATTTTTTTCAATACATTTCTAAATATTCTATTAAATTTGTCCTTTATAAACAATAATTCATGGAAAATATGCACAAGTCGAACAGCATTTACAATAATTCAGGACCTTCAAAGGGGGTATCCTCGAACGTAACCAGAAAATCCTCTTCCAGCAGAGTTATCTCCATAAACTGTTGTCTTTGTGACTTCTTGCCGAAGAATCTTAATGGTCATCTAGTTGAAAAAAGAGCTTTTCATGTTCGTGTAAGTTGCAGAACTGCTGCTTCGAACAAAAGACAGTCCTTTTCTGCAGGATTTCTCAAAGCCTTTGGTATGTGGATGTGCAAGGAGGAACTTAGGAACAGAAGGGAGAGCAGCATCCTGGCTTGGCCTCAGAAACCCCGCATCCACTAACATCTCCGGTGTTCTCAGGAGCCTATTTTGAGAAATATAGCCCTAAGCCAATCAATCTCTGAATTTATAAGTGAGGAACCTGAGAGCCAGAAAAGGGAAATGACTTGCCCAGGAGCCCAGGAATAAGGAGAGAGAATGGGCCCAGCACGCCTGGTTATCTGATGATAACCAGTTGGCGGTGGGTATCTGAGGCATGCCTGTCTGTCAGTTCTCAGAACCTGTATGTACAGAATCCACCCTCTGCTTGTCCTCTCCCCAGCCTGCTTCTCTCAAAAACTGTCCCCCTCCTCTCCATTATCTCAGAGTTGAGGGATTATCCAAATATCGTTCTCCCTGGGAGGCAGAGGGCAGTGATGTAGAGCAATTGTGCATCATATTTTTATTGATACGTAAGTGCTGGGATGTCTCCTTTGACCAAACAGATGATCCCACCCCCCACATCCTGGCCCCATTGCCCTTTTCTCTGCTTACTAGGCTCCAGTTAGGTGAGTCTGTACAAGTCAACTCTGTTTAAGCGAGCATCCTTTTATTCTGGCAAGTGGATTGGATGTTCTCTGGTTTGAAGTTTGTTGGACCCCCTCCTGCTCTCCATTTGTGCAGGCGGTGGTTATAATCGGTCCCACTCACAGGGATTGGGTACCACTGATTTTCTATTCCATGGTTTTTTTAGGATGAGGGTCAAAAAGCTGCCCATGATTTTGGCCCTGCACCTCAAGCGGTTCAAGTACATGGAGCAGCTCCACAGGTATACCAAGCTCTCTTACCGAGTGGTCTTCCCGCTGGAACTCCGGCTCTTCAACACCTCCAGCGATGCAGTCAACCTGGACCGCATGTACGACCTGGTCGCGGTGGTGGTACACTGCGGCAGGTGAGGGCGGGCAAGGAGCGTGTTGAGGGGGCGCGGTCCTTGGGCCACGTGGACTCTGCCCGGTCCTGGAGGGGCGGGGCTGGGATGTGAGACTCGGTGCTGATGGCGCTTTGGGGAGTTTCTCCTAAGCTCCAGTTTATCACCTCAAAATGAATCTCTAAACTTATATAAAGTAAAATAATACATTTAAAAATAAAGATAAAATTAATGCATAATAATAATTTAAATGTTCTCTCATAAGGGGAATAATAAATCTCTATTAGATACAAGGAATTTGAGATCACATGGAAAAGTAAATGTGCTGTAATTTTAGTTTTTGAAAAACCAGGTTATGCATATAACATGATCGCAAAAGTGTTTTAAGATACCTAAATAAGGACTGGAAGCAGTGGATGGATTTAATACTTTTTTGGCATTTGAATAATTAAAATGTATTCTTAAGTGTTCTTTGGACAGTTTTAAGCCTTTCTCCTATATTCTATAATAAGTACATAATCAAAAAAAAAAAAGATTGGAGAGAAGTCCCATAGATATGGAGAAGCAAAGTGTTTTTTCTGGAAGTCTTGAGGAAATATTTTTTATTGTATAGTTTGGTGTAAGTCTTGAAAACTACTGAAAATTCACCTGTTGCTATCATTTGCTCAGCTGGGATGGGTTTGCATCCCCTCCCTGGGATCGACATTGCTGTCACCCTTGTAGGTTTCAGATTGGGGCCTGTCACAGAGCAGGTGTCTTTTCCTCTCCACCCACCTGGATGGGGTGGCACTAAACAGACCATTACCAAGAGGATGCGTGGTCCCACAGGGAGGGATGGAGTGATTCCCTTTCCTCTGCTGGGTGGATGGAATCTGAAACTGTAACCTGCCTGAAGCAACCCTGTTTTGTCCCATGCAGAGCCAAACGTCACAGGTTATTGTCTTATGTTCTCAGAAAGTTGTATTTGTTGGGTCAGTTACAAGCCACCTTTCTATTTCCTCCTGAAGAATACTTCTATCTGCTAATTATTTTAAAGAATCTAAGGGTTGGGAAGATCCCCTGAAGGAGGTAATGGCAACCCACTCTAGTATTCTTGCCTGGAGAATTCCATGGACAGAGGAGTCTGGCGGGCTACAGTCCATGGGGTCCCAAAGGGGTGGACACAACTGAGTGATTGAGCACACATACACATACATCTATTTTCTATTTATTCATTCTAAGGGGTCTTTAACAGTATTCTTTGATTTAACCATGCCCTCCTCCAGGGGATCTTCCCAACCCAGGGATCAAACCCAGGTCTCCCTCATTGCAGACAGCTTGTTTACCATCTAAGCCACCAGGGAAACCCAAGAATTCTGGAGTGGGTAACCTATCCCTTCTCCAGGGTATCTTTCTGGCCCAGGGATCAAACTAGGGTCTCTTGCATTGCAGGCGGATTCTTTACCAGCTGAGCTACCAGGGAATCCCATATATTATGTACATGCTATGTATATTCTATGTTCCTGGTGGTTTAGTCAATATGTCATGTCCGACTCTATGTATATACTAGGAAATGGCAACCTACTACAACATCCTTGCCTGGAGAATCCCCGTGGACAGAGGACCTGGCAGCTACAGTCAGTGGGGTTGCACATGGTCAGACGTGACTGAGCACACACATGAGTGAGGGCCAGGGCGATGACAGAGCAGTGGGGGGCGCCCCTTTAGGGAAGGTGGTCAGCAAAGGTTTATCTCCTGAGATGACGTTTGAGCTGAAGTCCGCCCCAGGAGTAAAAAGAGGCAAGAATGCAGACGTGAGTGAGGAGCCTGTCAGGCAGAGCTGCAGCCGGCACAGAGACCCAAGCTGAGAACGCTGGTGTGTGTGAAAACGGAGGTGGCCCATGGGCTGGAGCTCAGGGGGAGGGGAGAGAGTGGCTGGGGAAAGGTGAGAACAATCCTCTGGGGCATCTTTTATTTAAAGAAAGCAAACTAAAGTGACTGCCCTGGTGGCCCAGTGGTTAAGGCCCTGCGCTTCGAATGCTTGGGATGTGGGTTCGATCCTTGGCTGGGGAACTGACATCCCGCATGCTGTGCAGTGTGGCAAAGAAAAAGCAGACTAAGATTCAGCTTTCCAACTTTGATGATGCATTGAGAAAACAAAACTCTAGAGTTAGAGTTAAAAACTCCCTCAGTTGTGCAAATCTGACTTCATAGGAGAAGCTGTTTTGTTGTTTGGACTACTTTTTTCTGTAGTGTGTAATAATGTACCTTTTTGTTTTCCTACTTGTTATTATACATTTTGGTTTAATATCTTTCTAAAACTTGAATCAGATCACATCACTCCTTAAAGTTCCCAAGTGTCTTCCCGGCTCATTCACAGTGAAGTCCATAATCTTAACCGCAGTGGCCCATTCCTGACCCTCCTCCACCGCGCCTCACTTGGCTCTGGCTTCCTTGCTGTTCCCGGATCACACTGTTCCCACCCCCACCCATCCCCTAGGCCTTGCACTTGCTCTCCTCCGTTCCTGAAACTTCCATCATGTGGTCTCACGGCTTGACACACACACACACATTCCCTTCAGGGAAACACACACACACACACACACACACACATATTCCCTTCAGGGAAATTCCCTCTGCTCACATTTCATGTCATCACTGTAGCACCTTCCTTCTATCGCTTACCAACCTGTTGCCCTGCTATACATTGCCCTGTGATACATTCTTCAGCATGTATCACCGCTTGAAATGTATTTGTGTTTTAGTTTATTACTCCAACCCTCACCTCAGGAAAGGCAGGACTTTGTTTCATTCACTGCTTTTTTTTTGTTCTTTTAAGTAGAAGAGAAGAGGCTTTTCTCCAGTCTTAATACTTATTTATTTATTTGGCTGTACCGTGTGGTCTTAGCTGCACCATGCTGGATGTCCTGCGAACTCCGTTTGGCACCTGGGATCTAGTTCCCTGACCAGGAGTCAAACCCAGGCCTCTGCCCTGGGAGCACGGGGTCACTGGACCACCAGGGAAGACCCCGTTCACTGCTTATTTTTTTTTTTTTTTTTTTGCCTAGCTGCCTGAATGGACCTAGATGGAACACAGTGGGTGTTCAGTAATTATGTGTTAATATTTGTTGAATTTGAATGTCTGTTTTCCCCAGTGGATTGGAATCCTTCGAAGACAGAGGCTTTATTCATCTTCCCTTACACCCAGCACAGTGTCAGCACCCAGGTGTCTCTCTGTGAGTTGTGACCAAAGACATGTGGATGTGGACATGACCTATTCCAAGTTCTCTGTCTGAGTGATAGTTTTTTTTTGTTTTTCCCCAAAAAAGTAATTGCATATAAAGAGCTACATAGAGCTTCATAAAGAAGTAAATGTTAACTTACTAACATTCTTCTGTTTGTTCTTTTCCAGTGGTCCTAATCGTGGGCATTATATTACTATCGTGAAAAGTCATGGCTTCTGGCTTTTGTTTGATGATGACATTGTAGAGGTTGGTATGCAGATGATTATATCCGAGGGAGGTGGGGCAGAGACCGTGTTTTGGGATGTGTGCATGTGGACATTTTCTAAAATAGGCCTGTATTCCTGTCATCTGACTTGAAAACAGCTTACATTTCTCTCAGAACTACATTCTGCTGCTCCCTACCCTCTCTGGAAGGGGAGAAGGGGTGTGATCATGGACTCATCAATACTGTGTTTTTGTTAACTGATCGACCACAGACATGGGACCTCCTTGCCATTGTAAGTCATGTTTACACGGAAGTCCTCTTTCCTACAGAGACTAAAGCCCACCGTGGGACCAAATAATAAACTTCAAAGTTGTGTTAAAATCCTTTTATTATACAAAAATTTTCTGATATTATTATTTAAATTTTTTTTTCACTCTGTTCAACCTAGAATTCTTTATATGACACCAGAATAGTCCATATATTGGTTTTGTTGCAAATGAACACTAGCCGGAGAGACTTCCACACTCAAAGACATGGTCTGTCTCAGCCCATGTAAGGTAGCACCAAAGGGAGTAAGTTTTGATGACCTGAATGAATTATGCTTATTCCCAAGAGCTCCCACAGTTTACGGCTGGAAAGACAGAGGTCCTGTCTTCTTCAGAGTGCACACCTGAGGTTGCTAATAGTCGGAAGGGTGGCGTTCTTCCCCAGTGAATTGCAGTGTGTGTCGTCATGCTGTCTCGGTCAGGTCTGTGGAGTTACCCATTTGCTGTTTAAAGTTCCCAATTTTATGACGGTGTTGCTTACATTTTCTTGTACATCCCATTAGCCCTTCTTTCCTTCTCCCAGTAATCATGTTAAACCACTGTGTTGTTTCATTTCTCTCTTTCTTGCAGAAAATAGATGCCCAAGCTATTGAAGAATTCTATGGCCTGACATCAGATATATCAAAAAATTCAGAATCTGGATATATTTTATTCTATCAGTCAAGAGAATAACTCAAAGGACCGTGGAACTGACTCTAGTGAGGGAAAATGCACTCGGACCTGGTTTCTCTGCAGACGTCCCTCCTCTCCTGTGGACCACCGGTGAACCGCACCGCTCCAAGTCTCGGTGGTCTGGCTGCGTGACTCTCTTCCCCTTCATTTTTCTACAAGCAGCACTACTCGTGGTTTTATGTTAGTCTGAGGTAGAGTTAACTGCAGTCAGATTGTAGTAAGGTTTAGATGAATAACATTTGCTAATTTTAGGATCAGGTACATGCTGTGCCACTGTCTGGCTGAATTAGAATGCCATTTCTTACAAACATCGACAGTCTATTTGGGGTCTTTGCTAATCTTCCTAAACGGCTTCCGGGGTCTCCTTTCAATGCATTCCTTTAACTTGTCCCTGGAAACATTGCTCCCCATTTTTAGCTTCTCTGCCTCTTTTCTGACAGAAGGACAGAAGAATGGGGTAGATGCTTACCTTTTAGAGCTGCAACTATAGCTTTAAGTTTGTTCGAGTGAAAATGTTTTAAAAGTGAGTAACCTCGAAACTGAATTCATCTTCCGGGTGGAACAGGGTGAAGAGAAGCTGTTCGAGGATGCCCAGGGCTGTGCTCACCCGGCCGTTACAATTCCAGGGGCTGAGGAGGCGTGGAGCTCAGGGCAGGCGAAGCTGAGAGGAGGAAGTTTTGTGCACAGTGGAAAGTTGCTTTTCTTCTCTTTCTACCAAAACCAAGTTTCAGGAAAATAGCTCTGTGCTCTTTGTTTTTAGTGATGCTCTTCTGTTCTGTGAGTTGTATCTCTCCTTTATCCGGCACTGCTAAGCTTTCCAGGGTACCTTTCCAACCCCGCTGGTGTTCCGTGGTCAGAGGTGGTAGGGCTGAGACCCCACGGGGACTGCCACCGACCCAGCTCTCCTTAGCCAGGCAGCACCAACACCGTCCTTTCCCAGGAAGAACAAAGGTGCTGCACTTGTCCTCCCATCAGCCACACTGTACAACAGTTCATATTTCAGCATTTCAGGTCCTGGCAAGCCCAGGGCTACCATGGAACCTTCTCTGGAGGAGATACTGGAGTTAGCTGGGGATGCAGGTGGGTCAGAGGAAGTGTCAGTGGGCAGGTGGTGGGATGAACAAAGTGGCAGCGTTTCTTTGGCTCAGGCTCCCAGGATGTTTGACAAGACAGAGTTTTTTGGAAGAACCTCATCTCACCATAGTTTTACTTTTTTTTTTTTTCACTTTTGTTGTATGTGTATTTATTAAATCATTTGAGTATCGATGCCTTTTATTAAAAGGTTCGATACACTGTTTTGCTGTTGAGCAGGTTTTTGGTTTCCTACAAATCTTACGAGTTGTAGATCTCAGCTTCCTGTGGGAAGAGTGCCGACTTCCATTCACTATAATATACTGTGAACCTGTTATTTTGTTACCTAATACATCAGCGAAGGAACATGCAAACTTTTGGCATAATGTGAACTAAAATTGAAATTGAAAATGTTACTGGCCATTTTGCAACAATTAAGAAGAGCATAGCACTTTATCTAGGTGAAAACTGGATTTCTTTCTCTTTGAAGTATCTTGAACTGTTTATCACTCACAACTTCCATAAGCATGCCACACTTCATCTGTTCATGCTTGAAGTGAAATGTTTTACTTTTCACTGGAGAAGACAAAAGCAGGGTGATCTTCACGTTATTGTTTTATACAAGTGATGAAAATATACCTTGCCTTGTTTAGAGGCGAATTCATATTTATAAATATTTTGTCTTTTTTTCCTCCACAAGACTTATGCAGTAATCGCTTACCTGGAAGGTGAATTTTTATCCTGTTTTTAAGAAGAGATGCTTTTCATTTGAAGGTGACTGATACAGGGAGCTGTTTATACTATACATAATCCATATATTTGCAGGTTGCAAAGTTTAAAAAAATGATGGCCGATCCCTAATATAGTTGGAACTGATACATGAGAAACACTGTTAAAATTATCTTTTAAGTAACTCTTGAAGCTAATTTATTAGGAAAAAAGTTTCAATTGAAAACCTATAGAACTAATTTGCTGTTTAGTTGTGAAGTCATGTCCGACTTTGTGACCCCATGGAGTGTAGCCTTCCAGGCTTTTCTGTTCATGAGACTTTTCCAGCAAGAATACTGAAGTGGTTTTCCTTCTCCAAGGGATCTTCCCAACCCACTGATTGAACCCGAGTCTCCTGCATTGGCAGGCAGGTTCTTTATTGGTGAGCCGCTAGGGAAGCCCCTTACAGAAGTGTTATCTGAGTGCTAAGTCATAAATTCAGTACTTTTTGGGCTTTTTGGATGAGTAAAAAGTTTTTCTCAGTGATTTAGCTGAAATAATAATAATTCCTTTTAGTAGAAAAGGTCAGTTAAAATTCAGTATTCATGGATAAATGTTTGCATAAATATTGAAGATAGTACAAAGACATTAACATGGTCATGTGGTGCAGGAAAAAGAAAATTGAGATAAAAATACACTTACCCACCAACACTCCATCAGTTTTTTAAACTTTAGCACTATCTGGGATCATCTTCCCCCTTCTTCTTTAACAAATGAAAGAAACACTAGGCAGCTACATCCTCCCACGTTATTTCACTTTATGTGAAGACTGGAGCACATAACACTTCTTTATTTTCATCCCTCATTCGTTGTGTTAAAGAGGGATGGTGTGGGACGTGTGAGACCATTCTGAGGTGAACGATAGCACAAAAGCTCAGCAATAGTCCCTCAAATGGCCAGGGTTTTTGTGTCTCATTTTTATGGCAGGAATGGGCAGGCTTGCTGTATTTCTTTTAACTGCTGGGTGTTTTGAAATAAGTGACAGTATTTTCCACTTTCAGAAGAGAAGGAATGTTTGCTTTATTGGGTACTTCCTTGTTTAACATCTAAATTATGATACAGTATGCTAAAATGTTATTTGTTTAAAAGTAAATATTGGTAGAATGCTGACGCCCAGTCTTGTCATTCTGATGCATTTTCCATTCCGAAGAAACACGAAGTGAGCTAGTTTGAAGAGAGCCAATGAGCAAAAAACACAAAGAGAGTGGTGCTTTGTCGAGGAAGCCAGTCATACTGGTTTTATAGCTTGGTATATTTTGGATTTCAGATGAAATGGGGAAAAAAATGACAGAAATGGTCCCTATGCATTTATTTTCATGGATACCCTTAATTTTCATGGGCATGCCTAACAATGAACTATGTTATAACTGGAGCTTAGGGCTTATTTTAGATATTGGAGTGTAGCTTTATTACAAAGATGGATTTTATCTATAAACATTGCATTTTGATCAACTTTGTATGTTCATGTGTATTAAAATATTGTGCACTAAATGTTTTGCCCTCGTCTGCTATTATATGGTCAAGGCATTTATCAGCACTAGTGTGATTCACTCATGTAAGTGGCATGGGTCAGGGGAAATTATTTCCTACGTTTCTGCCTAATTAAATTTGTTTTCCAGTATTACATTAATTTATTTCTGGCTTCCATTTCTGTGTAACCAAAATAGTTACTGCACTTGTGTGGCACATTTGACTTTGTTGCTAAAAAAAAATTTTTTTTTTTTTTAGTTTTTATTTAAAATAATCTGTACCTTTTTTTTTTTAATGTAACCAATTCAAGCACTTTAAGCAATAATGTCAATCTTGTGAAACTTCAATCAGTTTAATACCCTGCCTCTAAAGTTGTTGACAAAAAAATAAAGAGGAATTCTCTTCCTAGAGAATTATATCTGGGTAGTGTTAACACACATGGATTTAAAATCCTTTTTGTAAAATGTGAGTCATTGGCAAGTCTTGTGTCCAGGTAATCAGTCCAAGCCTGATTTTGAAGCATTGTAGAGGATATTCTGGTTATCGTAGTAAAGTTGCCACGACTGTCGAGGTTCAGAAAAGTTAGGGTTCTGGAGGTTACTCACCACTTTTTTGAATGAGAAAGAGCAACACAATCCAGAAACCTGGGTCTGGGGTAGAGCAAATTAAGAGTATCAGTGGAAAAGAGAATTAGGTATATTAGGTATATTAGGCGTAATGAATTGCTTAGCTGAGATTTTGCATAGGAAATGCCCTTTATTGATTATGAAATAAAAGATCCATTCTAAAAATAAGGCAGTGGCCTCAGCTCATTGATCTTGTGGGCATTTGGTTTCTAGGAGAGAGTCAGTGTGGCTTTCCCCTGCCCCCAGCACTAACAGCGGCCACAGGCTTCTGGGCAGGGTCTGAGCTGCATAGACCCCATCGGGGCGCGCAGCGGTCCCACCACTGGCCTACCTGGGGCGGGGCAGTGTGGGCCCTTTCTTGTGGTCTCACCGTGTGGCTCCCTGGGGAGCTTGCTGTTAAAATGCCTAAGGTTTTTTCCCCCAACAGTTAACTTCAAGGGGTCTGTGTGGGCAGGAGTTTGTCATCTGAATACATTTTCCTGGGCCCAGTGATGGGAGTAAAACCGCATAGGCCAAGAGCAGAGCAATGTGCCTTGAAGTCTCCTGGGTTCCACCCATCTTAGAGCAGCTCAAGTGAACCTGGCCGAGCTGCGACAGGCTGGATGGGGAAGCGCCTCCGTCCTCCACCAAGGCCGTGGGAACGGAAGACCTCGGGAAAAGTGTGTTTCTTTCTCGGCCTCCTTTTGTCCATCTGCCAGAAAGGTTTATGGGATAAGCCTGTTGCCACCAGCACAATATAGTTTCTGGGGCGTGAGTAGTGCCCATTTCTCCAAATTTCCGTCCTGTTCACTGAGACTTCAAACTCCTTGAACAGGATGAAGCCTTCCATTTCCATGTCCTGTATCCCCGTGAAGATGAAAAGGCTTGCTAAATCCTTTTTTCCCCGAGGGAGACTCGGGAGACATGGGTTCAGTCCCCGGGTCAGGAAGATATCCTGGAGGAGGACATGGCAGCCCACTCCGGGGTCCTTGCCTAGAGAACCCTGTGGACAGAGGAGCCTGGTGGGCTAAGTCCACAGGGTCGCACAGAGCCGGCCACAACTGAGCAGCTAAGCGCAGCAGAGAG